AAGCAAAGTAAACTTGATGAAATGACATGTCACGGATTTAGTTGGTCATGAATGTCATGGGGTTTAAAACACAAGTCTTTGGAGACTTGTAGTAAACCTCACAACAATTTGTATCGAACAAATCCGCTACAAATTTCCACCAAATTTATTAAACGTTGAACTTTAGTAAACATAACATACCCTAAACATATGTCAATTTTGTTGTAGCGCATCAACCTAAAGAGCCTAACCTAGCATGCGACACTAGAAAGAAAAGTGTACACCCTAACATTTGATTTCTAGGTCAAATAGAATGGCCTAACCTATGGTTCAAACATAGGTAAAGGGAGAGATGTATGAATGCAAAAACATACAATTTGAAAGGTGTTGGGTACCAATCCAACACCTCCATACGCATCAAAATCCTCTTCAGACCCTTACGTAAGAGTCAACTAATGAAAATCACCCAATTTCCATAACCTTTGCGAAGTGGACAGCCAACATAAAGGTTTTGGGAGAGCGAAAATTGAAGTTTCTAGGGTCCTAGGGTTCGGAGGCGTCAACCACATAACAATTGGCCATGGGGGGACCCTAGGTTTCACTAAGTTTCAAAGGTATACCTTCCCCGGTTTGTCCTAGCGCACCAAATTCCTGTCCAAGCTCCAATCCGAGTTCTAACTGCTGTCCAAGCTTCAATCCGCTGTCCAAGCTGCTCCGGAACTCGCCGCTGCTGTCCAAGGCGTTTTGAAGGCCTCCTTTGCTGTCCAAGATGTTCACAAACCTCCAAACTGCTGTTTGGGAGGTTTTGAAGGACCTCTCTTGCTGCTTGAATGCTTCAGGATATGAATTTCTGCTGCCTTTATCACCTCAAAGTAGTTGGAGATGATGAAGAAGGAAGAATAGGAAAGTACTTCCCTCTCTTGGCCCAAAAAAAAGAGAAATGGCAGCTAGAGCTTGATGACCTCAAGAGATCAATGGCCAAGGGCTGGAGGAGCCGACCGCCCTGGAGGATTTGGCGCCTAGAGGGCTCGACTGCAGGGAGGAGAACGACGCCTGGAGGCGTCTGGAAGCTCAGACGGGGTCGGTCGGTCGGGAGTCACGCACGCACGCAAGGGGATCTCGAATCCCCTCTCCCGTTCTCTCGCTCACTCTCTCTGGGTCGGGACGGGCACGAAAGGAAAAACAACAGGGGAGCCGAATGCTCCCCCCTACTCCCTCTCACGCTCTTTCTGCTCTGGCTTCAGACGGACAATTCAAGGGGACCGCCCAAATGAGCCTATGAGGTTCTCTTGTTACTTGAAACGAGGAGAATGTACTTGAGTACATTGAACCCAAATTTGAGTGAGATTTGAAAGAAGATTTCAGCCCTAGGTTTGGATTTCTGATTTGGGAAGTTGATTTAGCCGAAATCAGTCAATTGGAGCTGAAATTGACTTCGAATTGGGCTCGACCCGAATCAATTTGAGTCGATTTGGGTCCGATTTCATTCGATCGAGTCAATTTTGTGAAATTGAACTCCGATCGACGCCGAATAGCGTCGAATTGGGCTCGACGAGGTTCGATTTAAATTGATTTGATTTAAATTAAATTTATTTGATTTAATTAAAATCGGGGTTTGATTTGAGTTAATTTCGCTTCGACGACCTTCGATTGGGTCGATCGAGCACGATCGAGTTTAGTCGGGCTCGATCGGGGTCGGGTTGATACGAAAATATTCGTCAACAGTTGGTCCTTAGTTTTTAATATTTGCTGGTTGTCCGGTAATGGCTCTATTGTTCTCTTCATGTTTTTTTGTTGTTTATCCTTTAGCTATAATTGGAATGATGGTGCATTATTGATTAAAAAATGTTTCTTGGCATTCTCTCAGCTAGTCGATCCCTCCCTTTTCCATTTACTCTCTTATGAGGGTGGAAAGCATCACTTCCTCTCTCTATTCATGGAGAAATTATTATGTGCGGAGTCTGGACATAGAGTTAAAGTGAGGCATCTCTATTCATTATGTGCGGGGGCTTCTTTATCTATTCATCTTCATCTCTTTTGATTAAAAAGTCTCATGCTCATGGCTTTAAAGTGAGGCATCTCTATTTATCCATTCTCCGACCCTGCGTGATAGACTCCCTCATCGCTACTCAAAGGAAGCTATGCCTGCTCCTTGTCTTGAACTCACTAATCCGTCTTAGGCTAAGGTTAGTGTAATAATAAAAAAGAAAAAAAAAACAAATAACAAAGTACTATAAGAGTTATGCATATTCTGTAGTTTCTCCATTGATCCAATAGGTTTTTTGTTTATTTTAACTTCAAATTGAATAGCGGGGCCATTTTGGCTCCTATTAAAGGATTTTGAGGACTAAATTGAGACTTTTACTTAGTATGGACCATTTTGATCATTCACAAGTAGTTGGGTGACTTCTTGGATCCTTTTCTCGCTAATTGTTATTATCAATTGTCATGTTAGAAATAGTCATTTGTCACTTTTGAATAGATTTGCAAATTTTTCATTGTTACTATAACTAGATTGTTCATATAATTTATGATTACTATTATATATAGTTATCCTTTAGCTATAATTGGAATGATGGTGCATTATTGATTAAAAAATGTTTTTTGGCATTCTCTCAGCTAGTCGATCCCTCCCTTTTCCATTTACTCTCTTATGAGGGTGGAAAGCATCACTTCCTCTCTCTATCCATGGAGAAATTATTATGTGCGGAGTCTGGACATAGAGTTACATCCGGACTCCAATTAAGTTGGGACATATGGTTAATACACACCAACACGTGGCCAAAACACAATTTCAGTCAACACACAACTAATACACAATAAATACACATCTAATACATGGTAAATACACAGTAATATAAAAACTATATATTGGTCATGTGTTCAAATTTGATTGGAGTCCGGACACAACTCTAACCCGACTCTGCACGTAATAATTTCTCCTATCTATGAGGCTTTCAACCCTTTGCATGCAGATCTCGACGTCAAGTTTCACTACAATCATTGTCTCAGCTGCCATTTATCATCAAGGAAGTCTTAGATGGTTTAATTGCAGCACAGTGCAGATAACTTTTAGGCTTGTGTATGTTTGTAGGCATGCTTATATAGCTTGCTTAAAGGGACGTATGCGTGGATCCTTTGACTTACAAGATGTTAGAAATTTATTTATTATGATCTTAAAATATACGATTTCCTCTTATTCTAATTCCCACTTTATAAATAAAGGATTGCTACAGAAAGCATTCTAGGACCATAAGTAGCGTTGCACTGTTGTACACAAATTTCGCTTCAGGTCTTGATGATTGGATAGATGGGGTTTGGGCTGTACCAGAGGGCCTGAAGGCTCCAATACCTAGTGTTGCAATGTTGTAGGAGATACCCTCTGTTCCATTCTCATATTCTCTCAATCATCATGTCTGCGTTTGTGGTTGGAGAAACCCGCTGTCTTCTTTTATTTTTATAGGCTTTATTAAACGCCTTGAGTGTGGCATGTTTATTGCTGTTTTCCTTTCATACCTTAATTGATTTTATATCATTTTTTTGTTAAGTTCAGATGCGCAGGATTATTCTTCATCTTCTTATTGTGGCACTAAGAATTCTCGGATGGAGAACATTGAAGTTTGCCTTAAACGTCAAAAGCTGTCCACGTCAAGCTTAGAGGTATCTACATCGCACAGTGATGCTTTATCAGCGTTTGGTAGAGCTGATTGCTCTACATCTACTTCATATAATACATCATTTAACTGTTCAAATGGAGTAAGCTGCTCAAGTAATACTGGTTTAAAAGTAAAGTTACATCCTAATGGTATGAAGGCGAATTCTCAGAGTTCAAGTGGCTGGATTTCCATAAGGTCAACTGGTTCAAAAGTAAGTTCTAATGTCCAATCCAAGAGAACTCAAATGTCCAGCTATTTAAAAGCTGACTGTGCAAGTGAATTTTGTGATCCATTTGCATTTGATGATCAATTGGGACCATCAAAGTGGGAACAATTATCTTCAAAAAAGGGAAAAACTCAAACTTGCAAAAAAGCCGTTCCAGTTAAAGAAAATTTAATTGGATCTGAGGCTCTAAGTGTAATCATAAATGATGAATCAAGTCTGCCAATTGGTGAAGTCAATCCCCAGTCAAGTGATAAGTCTTGTCCAACAGAAGATGAAGAAGATCCTGGTCTTCTGGAGGACTGCCTTCTTGCTTCAGTAAAGGTTATTTCATGATCCTCCTACAGCTCTCTTTGCGCAAAAACATAAATACCATAGATATTTTTTTTTAATTGCGGTAATACAAGGGTTGTAGCCTTCATCTTACACGAGGCAATGCCTCTATGGTTAATGTTGAATTTTGTTGATAGCGCTCGAACATTATTTTACCAGAGTAATGGACGTTGGAGTTCTTTTGTATTGCACAATTACTTTGACAGATGTGCAACTTTTAGAAATTACTTTGACAAATGTGCAACTTTTAGAGGCGAAAAGAATAAGAGTCTCTTTGATTTACCTATATCTTGGGTGTTGTATTATCTGAATAACATATGGGGGTTGTTTGATTTGCTTTCGTCTTAAGGTTGCAACTATTCAAGTTGCAGTTTGACGCAATATCTTTTTCTTCTATCCAGATATCAACCAATTTTGATAATATCTTCATAGAACATTTTGATGATTATGATACACAATATAAAGGAATATGGAATTCAATTTAATTATAGGCAGCTTCAATTTTGAGACTAGCACTGAATCAAACAAACAAATGTAGTTTCATAGCATATGATTCTATTTTATGACAATTTAGATAACACTGAACATCAAATACAGTGAGGCATACCTTAGTTATCACGATCATAGCTAAATTCTTGAAGCTCTCATGTTAATTCTCATTATAAGCCCATTTCTTATTAAATAACATTCCCAGAGCACATTGCTGAAAAAAGTCCACATCAATCTATGCAATTTTTCCTGCCGTTCTTAGTTGCTTTTTATGGTATATGATATGCAATTATCAAAGCAATTGTACTCTTTACACGTTCTCATCTCTCTGGCTGTAAATCTTTTTCTAAAATGTAATATATTACTGACATTATATTACGTTTATTTTTTATGTTCCTGCTGTCTGACTCTGAATATATAAATCCATACTTTAATCTATCAAATTAATTTATTCTTGCATCAGACAATTTTTTTTCCCTTTCAGAGTAAGAGTTAAGAATATGATATGAGCACTCTTTGGCAGGTTCTTATGAACTTAACAAATGACAACCCTGTCGGCTGTCAACAAATTGCAGCCTGTGGAGGTCTGGACACTTTGGCTTCCTTGATTGCCAACCATTTCCCATCATTTGACTTGTGCTTTCCTGTTAGCACTGAAACTGAAGAGATTAGGACATCCATCGACAGGAGCAATGAATTTGGCCATCTTCATGATAGAAAGTTGCATGATCATCAATTGGATTTTCTAGTTGCTATTCTTGGTTTGCTTGTGAACCTTGTCGAGAAAGATAGTCTTAACAGGTTAGCTTTGTATGCTTAACGTCCTCTTTAATTTTTCCACTTTTACTTCACTACTTAGCAATCATGGTTCACAAGATAAAGGCATTTAATTTCTAATGAATTTTTAAATTCTATGAAAATGAGCGTAACTTCTAATATTATTTTTTTATTAACTATATAAATGTTAGTATTGGTGTTACTCTGATATGCGATTGACTCCGAACAAAAAAAGTAAGGCTATAGGAATTTATAAACTGTAAAGAAGTATTTTAGAAACACTGTACTAAGAAAAAAAAATTTCAAGAGAATCCCCATGCTCCATACATGACAAATACACCACTGAACAGGAAAACAACAAAGAGGAATATCTTTCACTGCGACAAATTAATCTGTTCCAGCAATTTGAGACGAGGGGGGGGGGGGGGGGGGGGGGGGTTTCCTTCCAGCACTCCCTAGACCTGCCCCTAGGATTCACGTGTGGATAACTGCCTTTGATTCCACCGTGAAAGTCAATATACTGGTATCCCTGTTTCAATTGTCAGCAACCTGCAGTACCAAGATAGGACCACAGCAGAAACTGATTCCCGGAAGGTTCAAAATTTGGATGCAACAACAACAACAAGTCTTTGTTCCACTACGTGGGGTCGGCTACATGAATCCTTTTTCTCCATTGTGTTATGTTAAAAATCAAATTCTTGTTTAAATCTAATAAAGAAAGATATTTTCTAACCAAATCTTTTTAGGTCTACCTCTACCTTTCTTAACATAAGCCAAATCTAATAACTCTACTTTCCTAATCGGGTCATTGGAAATAGTAAAATAAAATATAAATCTGATATGGTGAGGAATATTTGATTTACAAAGCTGTCAACATCTACATGTTAGGTTGATTTCTTTGTTTGAATCCAAGAATCAGGCAAACATTTAAAATGCGATAGAAAGAAGAGGTAGTTTACTGGGAAAAAAAACATTCAATATCAATTTAGAACAGGGAACCTGATTTGGAGCTGTTCTTGTGCCACTTGTTCCAAGATATACGGCTTAGAATCTGAAATCCATACTTCTTGGTTGATCTTGTACACCCAAAAACTGTCACCGCCCTTCTCCTTTGCGGATCCATCGGCTGCACTCAGCTTTTTGGCTACCAGATTTCCGGCAGCAGCTGGAACCACCAAATGGGGCCTATCTTGACTAGAAGAGACGCGTCCAAGATGGATTGACTAATCTTGGCGAAGTCCTAGACTCTCACAACCCTTCTCTTTACATCTCCTAATTTGGGGGAATTTCAACTCAAGGAAAGGGAATTCTCTCTCTTCTCTTAGGTCCAACATGAAAATGAGTTTAAAAAAACTCCCTTTCTCAAAAGAACATGAGGTATTTATAATAAGCAACCAAAAGGCAAAAGAGATAGCAAATTACTATACTACCCTCATCTAAAAAACTGGCAAAAAGGACATAAACAAATTAAAAAAAAAAGGAAAACACCTAAGTAAGTAAGGAGGTTTCAAAACTAATACAAATAAAACCCTATTAGGTATAGATGCAAAGAAGAGGGCAATCAATATTTTCATCAAACAATCAATGTTTCAACCGAGCTCTAGAGATCCTTGTTTATATAAAAGAACCTAGGGTTACTACTGAATAAAGTAGTTAAAATAAGACCTAAATTCAAATATTTTCTGAATAAAAAGTTTCAAATATAGTAGGTAAATGTTTACTTAGTCATGCCATTAATGTTTAATATAAGTTTGGATCAGGCTATGGTTATCAACTCCCTTTGTATATATAAAACTCTCCGCTAGAGAGTTATGCTGAAGGTTCTCATCTTAAAAGGTTTGGGGAGATGCTATGAAGCTCATCACAAATCACCCACGAGTCATTTAATAATGGATTTCTTCTCCATTAGACAAAATAATGTTGCCTGCAAGAGGGACCTAGTTGAGCTTATCTAATAGAATTTGCTTAACAATTGGGATTGGGTTTATGGTTGGTGGCAAAGTCGATAGTTATGCCACTAATGGAAATGTTTAATCTCCAGTTTGCATAGATACCCTTTGGTGGCTGAATAGTACTGTATAAATCCATTTGTATGGATACCTTTGAAAGTTTGACTAAGATTTATGTTAATAGAAAAATCAATAATATAAGCATTTGGATCTTTGTAAGTACTTTTTCAGGGTCTGAGGCTCGGGCATGGAGTTTATTAAATGTTTTATGTGAGCAATGTTCAAGGAAATACATACTACCATATTATCACCTTTATTATATGCTCATGATTTTTTATGGCAACTTGCCGGAGGTAGGTATTTTTTATTTTGCAAATTAATTAGTGCTTTAATGTCATAATATAATTTATGGACACGCATTTAGCAAATGATGCTATAGAATCAGAACATAAATCTATGGGTAATGATATGAGTTCTATAGGCTTTCTATGTGAAGTTATTTCTGATGTTACTGCTTAAATAGTTGTTGTAAACAAATTCAGTCATAGGTCGTGATAAATCATAGTTCCTTACTTAAACTATTGACAAAAAGAAAACGAAACAAAAATTTGAAACTTTGACTCACAACTTGTGTTTACCCGTTTGCATAGAGTGAAATGCGGATACAAATTTTAGTTTCCCTAAAATGTTTTCATAAGATTTTTTAGAAGTAACTAATGAAAAAAAAAGGTAACTAATGAATCATACATCCTTCTCAGATATAATGAAAGTAGAAAGATTATGTAAGCAAATAATTTTATTAAAGAGCAATTTAGCTATATGGGAGGCATCAATAATCTTTGAAGAAAGAATGAAATATGCTATTTTAAAGAATCAATTAACTACAAATAATATGTATTCATGAATATGGCAGTGCTGGGTAATCTTAACATGAAATCCATGTTGACGTCTTGCCATGCCACATTAGGCACATGTAGGGAAGTCTATAGGCCCTGAGTTTACTTTAAAATTTTTTCCATTTGATAATTCTGTAAATAGCTTATTATTATAGAAACATTTTTCCTATGAAAAACTAATAAAACCTCTACTCTACTAAACATGTAGTCATGCCCTACATGACCAACTAATTGTCTCACATGTAACTCCCAAACAAGAAAATCGTACAATGAAGTATGAGGAATGCATAATTTGAAGTGGATTAAATTTGATTGTCATCCTATCATGATAATCAGATGAAAGTTAGACCATACAAGATAATTAATTTTATTATCTCGATGTCATCTTTTCATGGATATAGTGTTAAGGTAAAAATCCAAATTAGTGCACTGGATATTTTATTTTCAGCAGTAGAATATGTATAACAACGAAGGAATATTCTTGTATAAATATAAACCATTTTAGCTAACAAGCATTACTCTTTCTATAGGATTGCAAATACTGTAGAGCTTGGTAATCGAAATATAACAAACTCTTGATGAAAAGATAATGAAGCTAATTTTTAAGGCTTGCTCTATAACATAGAATTCTTCATTATAAGGGAAGTATTTTTGCTTAGCATTATTAAGTTTCTCATTGAAGTAAACTACAAGATTTTCTTGAATATATATATATATATATATATATATGTGTGTGTGTGTGTGTGTTATTGTCCTTCAATAAAGGCTTAGCACTTGGAATTTAAACCCCTTTGATGATTTCTGATTATGTTATGGTGATTGATGCCCTTGGAGAGTTCAGTTTGAGGTTCCAACCCTGCTCAAAACTATTTTATTATCCCTTGCGTACCTTAGGATTTATTAGAAGTATTTAGTAGAATTTCTTTCAAAACCTTACTACGAATTTCATAGTCAACACAATCATTTGACCAGAAAAATTTATCCTAATTAGTGTTTATATTGAAATCAAATAGCCCTTTTCAACCAGATTTTAAAGAGTAAGGGTTGGTACTAAAAGTCTCCTTTTTATTGGTAGTTTAGATTTAATCCATATTACTATTCTCATTAATCAAGCTGAGTCTGTTTGTGAATAAATCTTTTGATTAATATTTGCATTTTGTTCTTTTAGCTTGAAGTTTTAGCATCAAAATCTCAACTGACGTACATTATCATGATTGATAGAGCGTTCTCTTAAGAAGTTTTGTCCTTTAGTTGTTATTTTTAGGCCAATAACTATAATCTTGAATGAAATGCCTTTTTTTGTTCCTATGATCCTTTAGTAGTGGCAAATTTGTCTGAGATATATTAAAGTCTACTTTCTTGGTAAGATAAAAAGATAATAATTACTGCAAAATGTCTTATGTAATATGAAATTTCGCTCAAAGTTTGTCGTTGGTGTTCTTGATCATCATGTTTGGCTCATAATCAAAATATAATTTATTTTCCACTATCCATAGATGATCAGCCCTCATTTTCTTTTGCATTCTTGTAAAAACTTTGTTGCATATTCTCTGATGGGAATTATTCGAGACCAATTTAATCATTTGTTGCTTAGAACCCATTCATTTTCATGCTTGATGACCCACAATAGGGTTGTAGGTGTGTTGAACCAACTCGAAGCTCATCTCATTAATGGGCTCACATGCTGAGCTTAACAGCCAAGCTGTCATCAAACATAGATTGTCTCATTAACTTGGCAAGTCCGCCTACTAATATAATATGATGCATCACCTTGTCATTTCATAATTATAGACCACTCGGGTTACTTATAAAAATAAAAAATTAATAAAAAAAATAATCAACCCTAACTCTTTGCCTCTCATTTTTCTGAAATGTTCTGTTCCAACTGCTTATTTCCTTTTCCATTGCCGCCTACTCCCTCTCTCCAAGAGCCATAGATCCTACTCATTGCTGTTGCCAACGACCAATGTCGGTGTACTTCATTTGTTGATGTGCTTACAAATGACCGTTGCATTCCCACTAGACCTACATCCTAGTTCTGTGAAGCTTCCCCTCAGTTTTCATGCTGTTGCCAATGACATTGTTCCACCATCATCACCAACCCTTAGAAGTAGATTTCTTGTCTCCAACATTCTCTTCCCCATCCCCTGCACACCAAACCCAGTGCTGAGATTCTGCCACGCCTTAATCTCAACAAGGTATTTTAGTTTTCTGCTTAATACTCTATACTACACTTTTTCCTTTTTTTTTTTCTCTTTTTCAATTTCCATGTTTTGTAAGTCAATTTAATATTCTAAAGCATCAATATTTTTATAGAATTGGATTAAGATATTCATCTTCCATTAATTTTGCTTAAGAGTATGCTGAGAGATTAATCTCCGTGGATAGAATTGCATGCCTTCGTTGATTTAAGGCTGTTTCTTAGCTTGGTAATTTAGATTCTTTTGAGCTATTTTGCTGTTTTCTCAGTTATTTATATGATGATGCAACTTGAAAGCATGTGTCCGGCAATTCCTTGTACCAATTAGTAGCTCACTTGTTGCTGTGCTGCAGAATGCGACTTGCGTCTGCACGTGTTTTGATGAATCCGCCAGGAACCTCACCTAGTAAGGAGATTTACAGAGATGTTGTACCTTTGCTATGCTCCATCTTTATGTCCAATCAAGGAGCTGGGAATGCTGATGGAGGAGAAGAGGTTTTAGTTCATGTAAGAACGTGAATGGATTTATCATGAATCTTTTTCAGAATTTTTTTTTTCCATGATAGTCATTTCACCTCAATATTCTTTATGATGCTTAGCTCTTCTAAATGATCGCGTGTCTTTGGCTCTAAAAATTGTGGTTAAACTCTATGACAGAACAGCCTAATTGGATAAAATTTCTCTTTTTCTTCTATTTTCCGTTATTGTTAACATTGTTCATTTTGCAAATATATACTATTATGTGTTGAAACTTGAAAGTGTATTTTCCGTATATGTTCATCTGAAGTGCAGTCATTTGGATTTTATGTGGTTCTTTTTTATGATGCATGTCAGGTAGTCTTTCAAATCCTATTGACTCCTGTACAATATTGGATAGGATAAATTTATAGCTTGATATTTCAATAATCGTTTGTGAGATTTTTTTTATCATACTTTTTGAAGAAACTGAGCTATTATTGTGTTTTTGTGGTTTAAACCTTCATCTGATAAATGGACACAGCTCCCCAGGTTTAGTTCTTCTCAGCCTCTGCAAGATGCCTAATTGTGGGCCAACAATGAACTTATTGTTAAGATGTCAACTCGACTTAAATATGTCTAAACTTTGTAGTATTTTGTAATAAATCATAATTTCCTTATAGTGAAAAATATCATATGCGGCATTTTGCTTTATATTTTTTACCAAGTATTGATCTGCTCAATCAAGCATATAGCCCAGAAAGGTTGAATCAGGTAAGGCATACCCTGATCCATGTCCATGTCTAGTGAAAGCAGTATTGTAATCAATTGCAAGCAACATTATGCCATCTGAGATCCTTACTGATAATTTCCTCAGAAAAATATGCATTGAAATGTAGCTTCTCAACTTTTGTTCTTTGGGGGTTTCTTGTGGGCTCCGAAAATTCGTAAGGCATACCCTGATCCATGTCCATGTCCAGTGAAAGCAGTAATGTAATCAATTGCAAGCAACATTATGCCATCTGAGATCCTTACTGATAATTTCCTCAGAAAAATATGCATTGAAATGTAGCTTCTCAACTTTTGTTCTTTGGGGGTTTCTCCATGTTGACCCGTTTCTATCCCAAAACAAAAAACAAAAAAAGAAATGAAATAAAATTTTTTTACCTGCTCTCTGCCACCGCACGCCCTCGACATGGCTCGCACGTCGCACGTCGAGATCGCTCCCACGATCTCTGGGTGTCATTAAAGAGACAAAGAGAAAAGGCCTTCGGCCTCTTCCTCTCGTTCAGGCTCTCTCTATCTCTCCGACTCTTCTTACGATCTCCCTCTCGCTGCTCCGACGACTTCCCTTTCCTATTTGGTCGGAAGTTCCGAACCTTTGATCGGAAGCGGCCATAGGAGCCGCTCGCAGTGAAGACAGCTTTCTCTCTTTCGATCGCTTCTTCGGCTCCACTGTGCCTGGACGACTTCGCTCCTCTCGACGACGTTCTCTACCTGTAGAATCAGAAGTTACGCGTTTTGATCGGAAGCAATACAGGAGCTCGTGTGCTATGAAGATTTTGATCGAAAGCAAGAAACAGAGCTCGTTTCTCCGGCTTCTCCATTGCTGTTTGACCCCGCTCCATTGGCTACGTTTCCTTCAAGCCGAATCGGATGTTACGACATTTTGACGGAAGGATCAACGGGAGCTCGCTGTCGCTGAAGTTAACTTTCTCCCTCACGCATGCTTCTTCGCCACTTTCGTGGCTGTCCGACCTTGCCCGACGCCGCCTCTGCCTGAAGGATCAGAAGTTACCACACTTTGATCGGAAGCAGCCACGGGAGCTCGCCACTGTGAAGGTAACTTCATCCCTTCCGTGCGCTTTCCGGCCAACTCTCGTAATGCCACCGGACCGACAGGTTTTAGATTTTTTTTTATCATAATAAAGGATTCATGCCATACACTGCCGTTGCCAGGTCCCAAGTCCTGGATTAGAAAAGTGGAGGGTTGCGTTAGGTAGTCGACAGCCAGCGTAAAACTTGTCGAACAATAATGACATGAATCCTTTAAGAAATTGTGTTAATGCTAGGGCGTCCCCTGGAAGCAACGCGCTGTATGGCCTGAATACAGTGACAAGTGTGCAAGGGCCGCTGCACCGGCGCCCGGGTGCAGTGTTAAATAGGCAAGGGTTCCCACATCAAGGACGGATGTGGGCAAAGAAGCTAGTCCATGATACTAAAATTAGGATAGGAACTTGGAATATAGGTTCCCTTACAGGAAAATTAATGGAATTAATAGATATTATGATTCATAGGAAGTTAAATATTTTGTGCATTCAGGAAACTAAATGGGTTGGAGATAAGGCTAAGGAAATTGATAGTTTAGGATTTAAACTTTGGTATTCGGACAGGAGTCGTACTAGAAATGGTGTAGGTGTTATTATAGATAAGAGTTTAATGGATAATATTATAAAAATTAATAGGATTGGAGATAGAATTATAGCTTTAAAGATTATTGTTGATGATAAGATTGTTAATATTATAAGTGCTTATGCTCTTCAAATAGGTTTGGATATGAGTTCTAAATTAAATGTTTGGAATGACTTTGAAGAATTAATACAAAATATACCTCTTGAAGAAAGAGTTTTTATTGGAGGAGATTTAAATGGACATGTTGGTAGAGAGGTAGATGATTTTAAAAGCATTCATGGTGGCCATGGATTTGGAACGACGAATGAAGGTGGCAAGACCATATTAGATTTTTGTTTAGCTTATGATTTTTCAATTGCTAATACCTTATTTAAGAAAAGGAATGAGCATCTCATAACTTATAAAAATGGATATAATACAACCCAGATTGACTATTTTCTTATTAGAAAATTAAACCGTTTAGATTGCAAAGATTGTAAAGTTATTCCGAGTGAAAATTTATGTACCCAACATCGATTATTAGTTTTGGACTTTAAGATAAAGGGGCATAAAATAAAAAATAAAGTAAAACAATTTTCTAGGATTAAATGGGGGCATTTAAAGAATATTAACAAAAATATTTTTGGAAATAAGATTTTAGATCTTAAGATTTTGTCTGTGCATGAGGATGCTAATATTATGTGGGAAAAAGTGGCTACTGATATTAAGAATATTGCAAAAGATGTCCTTGGAGTATCAAAGGGAAAAGCTCCCAATAGTAAAAATAGTTGGTGGTGAAATCCAAATGTG